GTAATATTAGTAGATGTCAAGAAATGCCTATGAATTATTCACTTGTTATTGAACCATTTGATGTTTGGGGCATTGATTATATGGGGCCGTTTCCTTCCTCTAATGGGTATACACATATTTTAGTTGATGTTGATTACATTACTAAGTGGGTAGAAGCTATTCCAACTAGTAGTGCTGATCATAACACCTCTATTAAGATGCTTAAAGAAGTTATTTTTACAAGGTTTGGAGTCCCTAGATACTTAATGACCGATGGTGGTTCACATTTTATTCATGGTGTTTTTCGTAAAATGCTTGCTAAGTATGATGTTAATCATAGAATTGCATCTCCTTATCATCCACAGTCTAGTGGTCAAGTAGAATTGAGTAATAGAGAGCTTAAATTAATTTTGCAAAAGACTGTCAATAGATCTAGAAAGAATTGGTCTAAGAAACTTGATGATGCATTATGGGCCTATAGAACTGCATACAAAAATCCTATGGGTATGTCTCCGTATAAAATGGTTTATGGTAAAGCATGTCACTTACCTCTCGAACTAGAACATAAGGCATATTGGGCCATTAAAGAGCTCAATTATGATTTGAAACTTGCTGGTGAGAAGAGAATATTTGACATTAGCTCACTTGATGAGTGGAGAACCCAGGCCTATGAGAATGCCAAATTGTTTAAAGAAAAAGTGAAAACACAAGAGCTCCCTGGGTGATTTTGGTAATTAATGTCAACATATCTCTTGTTGGACTAATGCTTCTACCTAGTATGTTTCATATAAGTTCAACAATGGAGTGGCATGGACTAGAGGATGTGGAACCCCTTCAAGATGCTGAGGACAAAGCATTCGCTCAAGCTCAAAGCTCAGGACTCTACATTTTCTATTTTAGTGATCCAAGATCACATTGAGTCCATAGGAAAGTCAATAATATTAAGAGGGGATGAGGTGTTGCTTAATGAGTTTCTTTCTCAAAGTGCTTAGTGATATGCTCCAAAGCCCTCAACCACTTTCTCATATCCACATATGTCCCAAACCAAAAGTCAAACTCGGCCCCACCTAAACTTTCTATCCGGCGCCACCGAGTTCTCTTGACATAGCCACTGCCAAAAACCCCAATCAATTCGGTCTCATCGATGGGATCTCGGTCTCACCAAGATGGGCTTGCATACTCTCTGTTTCCTATTGCAATAATTTCGGTCCCACCAAGGTATACAATCTGTCCCACCGAGTTTGCATGGCCAACTCTCTGTTTCGCTTATTACCCAAATCGGTCCCATCGAGTTTGTGTAATTGGTCAAACCGAGTTGAGGCTTTACCCTAACCCTAGCACATCGGTCCCACCGAGTTGATCATGTCGGTCCCACCGAAATGCCTAACGGTCACATTATGAACTAAATCGGTCCAACTGAGTTTCATGATTCGGTCCCACCGAGTTTGGTAAATTGTGTGTAATGGTTAGATTTTGTGTGGAGACTATATATACCCCTCCACCCACTCTTCATTCATAGAGAGAGCCATCAGAACATGCCTACACTTCCAACATACATTTTCTGAGAGAGAACCACCTACACTTGTGTTGAAGTCAAGATATTCAATTCCAACCACATAAATGTTGATCTCTAGCTTTCCCCAAGTTGCTTTCCACTCAAATCTTCTTTCTACCAAATCCAAATCCCATGAGAGAGAGTTGAGTGTTGGGGAGACTATCATTTGAAGCACAAGAGCAAGGAGTTCATCATCAACACACCATTTGTTACCTCTTGGAGAGCGGTGTCTCCTAGATTGGCTAGGTGTCACTTGGGAGCCTCCGTCAAGATTGTGGAGTTGAACCAAGGAGTTTGTAAGGGCAAGGAGATCTACCCATGTGAGGCAAGTCCTTCGTGGGCGACGACCATGGTGGGATAGACAAGGTTGCTTCTTCGTGGACCCTTCGTGGGTGGAGCCCTCCGTGGACTCGCGCAACCGTTACCCTTCGTGGGTTGAAGTCTTCATCAACGTGGATGTACGATAGCACCACCTATCGAAACCACGGTTAAAAAATTTCCGTGTCTCCAAATTGCGTTTGCACACTCCAATCTCATCCCTTTACATTCTTGCAACTTGCATGCTTTACTTTCCGCTGCTCATATACTCTTGTCATGCTTACTTGATATGTATTGTGAATGTTTAAACTTGTGCCAAAACTTCACTTCAACTTAAAGAATTTAAAAACTCCAACTTTTCTTACTTAGAATTTATTCACCCCCCCCCCCCCTCTAGACACCTCTTCTCGATCCTTTCAAAAAGTTAAAAGATGGCATGACAAAAGGATACAAAAATATGAGTTTAATGTGGGTGATTATGTATTGTTATATAACTCTCGTTTAAGATTTTTTGCAGGAAAACTCCTCTCTAAATGGGAAGGACCTTAAGTTATCAAGGAGGTCTATCGTTCCGGTGCTATAAAAATCAACAACTTCGAAGGCACAAATCCGAGGGTGGTGAATGGTCAAAGAATCAAACATTATATCTCAGGTAATCATATAAATGTTGAAACTAATGTTATTGAAACCGTAACCCCGAAGAAGTATATAAGGACATCTTCCAGAACGTTTCAACCTCCGAAAAGGAATAGGTATGTGGTACGGTAAGTAAACCGACTCCAAAACAGTTCTAATAGCAATTTTTCTCCGTTTTGAAATATTTAAGAAAATAAGAAAATATATAAGAAGCAGTCCGGAAAGGACACGAGGAATCCACGAGGGTGGAGGGCACGCCCTACCCCCTGGGCGCGCCCCTTGCCTCGTGGGCACCTCGTGTGCCCTCCGGACTCTGTTTTCTTGCACGATACTTCTTTTGGTCGGTAAAAATTCATTATACACTCTTACTTATTGAAAAGACTATGATAGATCCCCTATACTTGTGGGTCATCAAGTGGCTGTTTAGATGTCAAAAAAAGGTTGGATGTCAATCCGTGAACTCTGTCGCCGTTGGATTTGGACCTAGAAAAGAAGAGAAACTGTTGACGCGGTATTTCAAGACTTTCATTCATAACCTTCTCTTCTGAGAAACATACGCAATAGGGGAGCACACATGTTGTGAATAGACTCGCAGAAAACAAAACACAATGCCATAAGATGCTGACGTCACGGAAGAAAATAACCAACCAGTGCCGTCTCCAACCCACCCGCCGCTGGCTGATAAGATAACTAGATGGATCATACGGACATCGCCGACGACACATCACAATTCATCCCGGATCAACCTACTTCGCCCCGACAAGACACCATGCTACACAGATTTTCAAGGTGGTACAACGAACATCCTTGCTCTGCTCAAGCCGCACAACACGTCGGCACACCAAGGCGCTGTCGTTCGATGTCCACGATTAGGGCATCTCCAACACGGATGTCTGAACCTTTCCTATATGTTTGGATCGGACTATCCGAATACTTTTAGGCTTTCAATGCCATCATCATTTTATGCCACACCTATCTGGACGTTTGAAATCCCTAAGTTTGGCTCAAAATAGGGAGGCGGCCTAGGAAAGTCTGGACGATCGTCACTTGGACTCTGATGTCCTAGACCCACTGAAAACCCAGCCGACGCCCACATTTTCGACACAAATGCATGGAGGCTTGCCGTCCTCCTGCCTACCCGCATTCATGCATTGTTGGCCGGCACGCCACCTGAGGAGTG